TGCCTAGTCATTCCCTTTCGTCTACTCCCCAGGTGGATGACCCCTGAGCAAAGTCCCTGTTTACAAGGTCATGAATTTCCTCTGGTGGGTGCAGAGGTGCCCCTATTTCTTAAGCCAGGTCAATTCAAGAGGAATCAGAACCATGACCACTCCCACCCAGTGTCCTGGGCAGGGCCAGGGGCTCAGGAGAGCTCAGGTCTGAGTTTAATCAGTCTCTGCTGGTCTCAGTGTAAACGCAACCCACCACTGAGGGCTGAGGGCTCAACAGCCTGGCGCTCCACCTCCCGAGGCCGGGTCTGCCCTACTCCCCCACTTGGCCATCCGCCCAGCCCGGGCCTTGCTGGCTGGCCTACGCAGCGTGCGCCTTTGTCTCCGGGTGGGAGATGCACCTCACCCCCGCGGGTTCCCCGGGTGATGGGAGGGCAGCCAGTGCTGTGCCCTGTCAACCACTCCCCCCCACCCCCGTCCCAGGCCCGCTTTTGCATCGGACTTCCAACACTGTGTTGTCGCAGGTAATTAAAGGTTTTTAATTAAATTAGGATCCCATCTGGCTGGGATCAGTCAGGCCCTTAACGAGGATTCTGTGTCACCAATATCAGAATGCGGATGGGGACTGAGACGTGTGGGGGCTGAATTGGGGGACTAAAGGCCTTCCAGACGAGGCTAGAGCATCCTTCGGAGCCCCTCAGTGGCTCCCTGCGATGCAGCCACAAGTCATTCCGCCTCCCCAAACGGAAGCTGTGTGCTTTGATGCCGGAGACAGGGCGGAGGACCAGAGCTCCCCCACATTCGTTCTTGTCTGTGAGTCTCTGAGACCTCTGAAGGGCTGCACGATAGGTGAGCACTGTCTCATTTCCACCGGCGGGGACACCGAGGTCCACAGAAATAAAGTGCTCAAACGCATCCACTGGATCCGCCGGGACCGGATTTAACTGCTAGAAATGGAGACCAGGTAAGGTAGAAACTTGAAAGAAATGAGAGAGAAATGGGATTTTTTTTCCGCCTAAAAATCTGATGATAGGCAGCCTAGGGCTGGTATATTTCTATCCCACAAATTTTTCAGGGAACAAGATGTTTCTGATCATTTTCAGACTACGGTTCTTATTCTCATGGCCTAAGATGGCAGCCAGAGCTCCAGCACTCACATGCATATTCCAGGCAGCAGGATGGAAGATGGAACAAAGAAGGGCTCAGCTGTCTTAAGATCTCTGGGAGTCGCCTAATGACCCTTTTGCTATGTCACTGCCCATATCCAGTCACATGATCACACCTTAGCACAAGGGAGGCAGGAAAATGTATTTATTTTAGGCAGCCACGCTCCCAGTTAGAAACTGAGGATTTCATGACTGTGAAGAAAGGGGGAAGAGATGCTATAAAACCATCATCGGTCTCTACCACGTGCGTTGTGGGGCAGAACCAGGGCAGGAACCCAGGCCTCCTACGTCTGGCCCGGGTCCTTCCACCCGGCCGTCCCAGGAGCAAGGCTGTAACTGACATCGACCCATCTCCAAAGACAAAGAGGAGGAAGTGGGTTTGTTGAGCAGTTTATCTAATTCTCCCGACAATGCTCCAGGGGAGGTGGATGCTGGTTTTTCACATAAGGAGGCTCTGGGAGATTATGTCATTTGTCCAAGCCACCTAGCTAATCAATGACAGTCCCAGGATGGGGACCCAACTCTATCTTCCCACAGCACTTGTGTGGCTCACTCACTGGCGGCCTCTGTAGTTCAGGAAGTGCCAGCCTGCGTCTTGGGACCACTCAGCCAGGTGGCCCTGCAGTGATGAACCAGGCATCTTTCTTTGGGGTTGTTTGTTATTAGGTCAGGCTTTGAGTTTGGCAGGTCGACAGGAAACCGGGTCCTCCCCTGGGGGGCCAGAAGCCGGTCCCCAGCTGCTGAGTGCCAGGTCTCCTCTGGCATGTGTACTTCGGCGATGGCAGCAGTTGCCACTCTAGGGCTTGGGCGTCATCAGCGGGTGCTGCCCCCACCTTATGTTGCTCCTGCCTAGTGGGACTGGCGGTGCCTCTCCTCGCCTGTCACCCCAGCCCCCGGTTTCCCCGACGGTATCATAAGACTCAGAGTCTTTGGAAGTAACATTTCTCTCTCCCACTCTCAACCATGACATTGGATCACTTTCCAGCACAGAGCAACTGGCTCATCGTATCCCCCACCACCCCCTACACCAGCAGTCCCCAACCCCCTGGCCGAGGACTGGCACCGGTGGGGTCGGCAGCCTTTTAGGAACAGGTGGACAGGGAAGCTCCCCTGAGCCCCGCCTCCTGACCCACCTGAGCTTTCCCTCCTGTCCCCACCCTCACCACCCCCACCCCGTTCATGGAAAAACCAGTCCCTGGTGCCAGAAAGATCGGGGGCTGCTGCCCTACACATATGCACTCAATGCTCCAGGTCCCTGGTCTCCTCCCTTTGCCCTTGGACACCCCTACCCCACACGTGCATCCTTCTCTGAGCTTCCCTGCCCACCCACCGCCTCTGAGCAATGGGCCAAAGGAGTCTGCCACATGCAAGGTCACCAGCATTCCTGCCAAAGAGGGGGAAGGGGGTGACTCAGTTCCTGCTTGCTCATCCCAGGAAAGGAGACTGAGGGGGGAGGGACCCAGACACCGGTTTGCTTTGCCTCAAGCTTCACTGCGGGGAAAGACTTGGCCCTGCTGCCCCAGTGGGCATCCCCTCCGATTAGCTTCACAGGCTGCTGGGCAGACTCACCCATTAGAGATGCAAATACTGAGGCCCAAACAGCGCCTGGACCAAGTCTGAGTGCAGAAGTGGTCTCCAAGGGTTCCCCCACGTCCACACTGCAAACCTTGCCCTCAGGAAACCTCCAGTCTGATGGGGAAAGCACAGACCCTGGCTCCCAGACTGCTGGGGAGAGGCCATGCCATGACCTCAGAGAGCCCTGGCCTGGCAGGCGTGTCCTGGAGCCTCTGCTAGGATGGAGATGGCAAGAACCCACCCTGGGGGAGCAGGGCCACGGGACCCCAGCCTGGTCACCGAAGGGCAGTGGTGGGTGGGGAAGGGTGTGTGTCCGTCTCAGTGAGTGGGTCCCTCTCCCAGGGGATGCCAGAGCCATTGCTCATCAACGGAGCAGAGGTTGGCACCTTTGTAGCCAGAGGCAGCTGGATGGACCCCTTACCCTTGTGAAGACAAATGGTGGAGGAAGTATCATGATGGCAAGAATAGTAGGGCCCAGAGGGTGATTCCAAAAGAATTATGATTTCAGAGGATATCTGCCAGCAAGATCCTAGCTGAGAAGAGCAGCCGGGTGATGGGGAAGGCAGAAAAGGAGGACGAGGCGGCAGGGTGTGTGTGCGGGTGAAATGAAGTTATTAAAACGAACCCGCCCCCCGCGCAGGCGGAGCTGCACGCCAGGCAGGCCGGCCCTCCAGCTGTCGGCAGCATCTGGCTCTCCACAGGGGGACAGGAGCCAGAGGGGGCGGGTCAGAGTGTCCCCGGGTCCTGCTGACAGTTCAGCCAGGCCAGACAGAGGAGGCCCCAGAGCCACCTCTTGCTACGCCCCCCTGCCAGAGTCCTCTAGTACCCACAGGGGCTCCTGGCTGGTGTCTGGGGCGTGGGCCTCTGCCAGTGGGAGGGTGCACCAGATTCCACAACCATAAGCCCCCTGCAGCAGGGCCTGGGGCCCTGGGCCTCTTTGAGCACAGAGTCCCCGACCTCAAGGTGGGAAGGGACAGGGTGGTATGGCAGTGTGGGGGTGTCTCGAGTCTGCCCAGGAGAGGTGGCCCCAGGACACGTGGTGCAGGGCAAAGAACAGAACTAGGAATGAGCCCAAGTCATGTGCTTTTTCTGAGTCACTTATGCAAGGTGGCTTCTAAGGTCCCATCCAGCTTCCCTCTGCAGTGGGAGGGAGCCTGGTCCACGCTGAACGCCGCTGGACAGGCAAGGCAGGTTGGGGCGGCAGGACCCTCCTCCCTCCTGCTAGGTAGGACTCTCCTCGAGGTGGCTGCAGGGCCAAAAGGGACCCAGGGGACCTGAGTGCTGCCCTCTAGACCCAGAGTGACCTCCAGAGAGGACACTGTGATCTTGGTAGTGAGGGTCCAGCCTTCCCCTCACTGAGCCCCAAAGGGCCCAGCCAACTCCCAGACGAGGTGCCACCAGCAGCCACCCATTCCAAGGCCCTCCTGTGGACTGTGGCAGGGGAATGGCTGATTTAAGTCCCTGTCTGTCCCCATTCCACCCTGGCCTGTGCCCTCACTATAAGGTCATCAGACTGAAATCCTAACGCCCCTGATTCTCTGAAAGGACGCTTCCCAGGAGAACCGCCCCCCCAGGAGAAGCAGGGGCAAGTCACAGCCAGGGGTGAGCATCACAGGTGTGTCCTCATCCTGGGCAGCCGGTGCCAGAAAGGAGCTTGGAGGTCGTCTGAAGGTCCTCAAAGTGTGACCCCTGAGCACAGAGCGTAGCACCCCCCAAGGGTGTTGCTTAGAAAGGCAGGTGCTTGGGCCCCAGCCAAGCCCACTCGGGATGGGACCCAGAAATCTGTTTTAACAAACCCCCACGCTGGTACAGAGGCCCCCGTCCCGGAACCTCTGGGCCGGACCAGTTCCTCATTTCATAGGGAAGGAATGGAAGGCGAGCCAGAGAGTGGACTTGCCCAAGGCCACAGAGCAAAACACTGAAGGACCTGGGACACCCGACAGGCCCGCCCACCCGCCAGCTCCCCCTCCCTGCGCTGCTTTGGCAGCCACCACCGCTGTGAGGGCCCTGCAGCCCCGCCAGCTGGCCTGTGGGGGGCCCGGGGCCCTTTCCCCTGACCAGACTCCAATGCCCTGGGAAAGCTTTATTCCCCGCTCCGAGAACACGGTTCGGCACACAGAAGCTGACAATCGGGTGATTTCACAAGACTCCCCCCACCCACCCACCCACACACAGACACCACGGAACAGGTCCAGCGCGCCCTCCACAGTCTGGCCTCCCCCAGCCCCACAGCCAAGAGGGGAAGCAACATCTCCATCTGGCCCCGACTGATATTGAAGGGTGGCTGGCTGGACAAGGAGGCTCCCAGAGGAGCCAGCAGAGCTGGGTTGGAGGAGGGACACACAGCGTGCGGGGGGGGGGGGGCCTCCACCTACCCCCCGTTACTGGGAGAGCCACGGTCACCCCCGCCTCAGCTGGAGGACCAGTGTCCCATCAGCACGGGGAGGGGTGGGAGCACAATGGCAAGAGAGGAAACTTTGGAAAGGGGTGGCCTGGCTGGGGGCAGATGGCCGACGATCTATTTGTCACAACATCGAAGACTCCAAAGTCACCACTTCAGCCTCAAGCTGAGCTCAGTCCACGGTCCAGGACAAGGGGCTCCAGGCTGCCCGCCGAGCGGGCCTGGACAGCTCCTCCTCCGCCGGCCCCCAGCGCCGGCTCCCAGGAGGCCCCTTTGCGGCCATCCTTCCCTTCCCACTTGGTGTCAGCACCGAGGAAATAGCCCTCTCCTCGTTGCTGTGTGGTCTCAGGATGGCAGGGAGGGAGCCGGGGTTTCAGATTCCTCTCCAGGGCTTTATTGAGGCCGTGCTGGTCTGCCGGCCCCGGGGCCTCCCTGGACACAGCATCTGCCTCCCGCTCAGTGGGGACACCCTGTGAGGCGACGAGGAGAACCCACTCCCCGCCAGTGCGCCTGTGCCCTCCTCGCTCCGCGACCTCGGGATGGGGCCCCGCACCTGAGACCCCTTCCCCACCACGTGAGACTTGGCCTCTCCTTCTCTCCATCCCACTCCCGGCCTGAGACCCCTCCCCTTCCCTGCCCAGTGTCCAGACAGATGGCCTCCTGTGCGGGCAGGCCTGTCCTTCCAGCCCCAGCCTGGCCTCTGCAGCCTGCCCGGGGTCAGCCAGAGGGGTAGTAAGGAGTGTCGCTGTGGGAGTTGTAATCCGGGCACACCTTCTGGACCAGCCTGTAGTCCGCACTATAGAAGGCAATGTAGACGCAGACGACTTTGAAGGGCTGGGAGCAGCTCCAGGTGGCTGAGCTCTGCGCGTGGTCTCGGGAGCAGGTCTTGGCCGGGTCGTGGGTGCAGAGGGAGGTCCGGCGACCCCGTTCCACCTTCTCCCACTCCATTCGGCAGTTGAAGATTTTGGAGGCCTTGGCTTCGATGAAGATCTGCTGCTCCTGGTGGAACTCGACGGCTTTGCTGGGGGGCACGAGGCTGATGGAGATGTTGCCCTGGCCGGTGGCGTTGTGTCGGAAGTGGACGCTGAAGGTCCCGTTCCCGTGGTCCACGATCTTCCCCGTGACGAGCAGGTTCAGCGTGACCGTCTTGATGTTGGAGTAGAAGTCGCCCCAGCCAAAGATTTTCTTCACCTTGGCTGAAGGTGAGGGGCTGTGGTTCGGGCGGTTGGGGGGCTGCCCGAGGAAGCCCCAGGCCTCTCCAGGTGGGGCCAGCAGCCCTAGGAGACTAGAATTGGCCAGGGGACGGGACTTAGGTGAGATGTGGCCCCGCTTCCGAGGCATCCGGGGCTGCGGCTGGCTCTCGTGGTCATCACGCTCAGGGTCCTCTGAGCCAGGGGGCCCATCGTCCTGGCCACAGATGACCTGTGGGGGGAGTCGGGATAGGTGTGAGAGCCCTGTCCCCAGAGGACCCAGGAGTTCTGGTCCATTGCTTCCCGTCACCAGCATCGTCTCTCTTGGTCTCTTCCACTGACCTGGGGCTGAGGGGCCCCTGCACACTGCCCACTGCCCACTTATGTTAGGGGCCCGGTGTACACTGGCTGCTGTCACGGTCCCATCTCCTGTTCTGACACCCTGGTCACCCCCTTCCACCTCTCCTCCTCACTGTCTTGCCTCTGGCCACTATTCAAAGTCTAAAAAGATGGATGAGAATTCTCTGCAGTGGACCATGCCTCCAGGAGTTTGTGGCCCGTACCCCTGGGGGGGGGGGGGCCAGGCGGAAGGGGGAGGCCCAACCTGAACTTGGAAGAGCCGCTGTCCGATGGCGGAAGCACATCCCTGTGCTGGCAGAGCCCCCAGACATAGCAGCAGCAGCAGCAGCAGCAGCGTCCCTGCCTCTGTGGAATCCCAGGCTGATGGGGGGACACACAGTCTCTGCCCTCAGAGCCCCAAGGCAGACAGGAGAGCTCCACCCCAAAGCTGGAAGAGCCCCCCTGCCCATTTGACAGGAGAGGTCCAGCCCCTGCCTTTCTGGGGGCTTCTGTAGTCTGCTGGATGAGGCACAGCTCTACCCTGGGACAGTTTCTACCCTCAGGGCAACATCCTCCCTCCAGTGTAAATGCAAGAGGACTGGGGGTGGGGGGGTGGGGCTGGAGTGAATTTCACACTGAGGATGGCCGAGGGAGCAGCAAGCAGAACACCCCCGTGGGGAACCGCTGACGATGGCAGGCCAGGCGTCACCTGCACTCTGAGGTAGGGGTTCTTCTTACCCCTGTTTTACAGAGGAGCACCCAGTTTTCAAAGGCTGCGTCACTGTAAGGCTCGGTCACCCAGGGTGAGCCTCCCTCCCCCCGTACCGCACCCTCCCAGCCCCGCAGACCAGAGGTGCCCCAACCCCCATCCCCACCCCGAATCTCCTGTAAAACTGCCCAACTCTGCGGGACCACTCTGGCAACAGGCGACTCCCGGGGAGGCTTCCTGGACGAGCAGTGGGGAGGGCCAGTGGGGCGACCTGACCGAGCGCAAACACGGGACAGCTCTGGAGGGCGTCCAGCAGCGGACAAGGTTTCCTGAGGGCAGCTGCCTGGGGTGTGTCTGCGCAGCGTTTGACCAGAGCACTTACCCTGTGCGGCTGTGTTGCCAACACCGAGGGCACCTGTTTACAGCCGGGTGGCATCTAGATTTGCGGGTGTCCCTGGGGGGGTGAGGCTGGGGGATGCCTGAGGGCTGGAGTCTGGAGGCAGGGCTGGGCTGGGGGCTTCTGCTCCCGGTTCTGACCCTGGCCCTGTGGGCAGATGTGTGCAGTGGCCCTGCCTGCCCGGCCCCAGGGGTGGGATGGGACAGCAGGAGGAGAGGCTCCTGGGGGTTAGACTAAAGGCCACAGACCTGTGTGCGCTTGGCCCCTGGGGGTCACAGCCGAATGGGTGGAGGCTGGGGAGAAGGGCCGCAAGTGGATGTGAGAAGGGAAGGGTTCTTCCGCACAGTGAACGGCACAGGGGAGATGGCAAAGGGGATTATTGTTTTGAGGAAAGGGGCAGGTCCAGATGTGGAGCTGAGGCTTCTCCAAGACAGGATGGGGGTGGGGCGCTGGATCGGAGAGGAGTTAAGACCTGGGCTGGGGCCTGGGGTGGGGTTCCCGGGCAGCCGTGAGCAAGATCAAGAGGAGCAGGATCTGGGTGCCCAGCTCGGCTTCCGCGAGAGCCTGGGGCGGGAGCCGCCTGCCCAGGTCCTGTGGGGCTCCGGCTGCGCGCAGCCGGGAGAGGAGAGGAAAACAACAGGCGGGGAGGGCGGGAGCGGGAGGGAGCGGGAGCGAGGGACGCAGGGGCCGACCCCGCCTGGACCGGCCCCGCGCGCTAGGGGACCCACAGCCCGGGGCCCTCTGGGTCCCCGAGATCAGGAAAAAGCCCAAGCCCCCCGACTTGACGAGGCACCAGCTGCACAACCCACCCCCTCGCCCCCTCCACGCGTCCTGGGCTGGCGCCTGGACGGGGTCGGGTAACCCTTGGCGACCTAGCTACCGGCCTTTTCCCTCGTGCTGGTCGCACCTCCCGCCACCAGCGGCCGAGTGGGTGGGCCAAGCAAACACCCGCTCTCCGCCCCTATTAACCCTTTCTCTACCTTCTTGGGTCTCAGACCCGCCCTCTCCCCTAGCCTTCAGGCGTTCCCTCCATCCCGGGGATGCTGGGGGGAAGGGAGAAAGTTTCCGGGCTCGGAAGCTTCCCGCGCTCTCCCCGAGTCCTCCGAGCCCCTGCCCTCCGCGCAGCTCCCCGCGGACCGCTTACCAGATAGAGGCTGCCCTGCACTAGGAACACGAAGCAGCAGCGGGTCAGTTGCATCCTCCTCCTTTGCTCTCTTGCCCCTTTCTCTCTTTTCCTCTTGGGGTCCCAGGCCCCTGCCTCACCCCTGCTCTTTTCAGGAGAGGCGTCCCATGCTCTGGTCGCTGGTGACTCGCGGCCCTCGCTTCTGCCAGTCGCCTCGGACCGACCCCGCCCCCTTCGGTCCAGCTGTGCAGCCGCCGCCCCCTTTCCCTGGTCCAGCTGTGCGCCCCGCTGCCCCCTCTCGAGGTCCCAGATGTGCGCCCCAAGCGCCTCGAGGGGCCCCAGCTGCAAGGTGGCTCTGCCGCTCCAGATCTGCGCTTGGCGTCCCCCTTGGTTCCACCGGCGCGGCTCTCGCCCAGATGTGCTGGGGACCCGCGCGCGCGCCCGTCCCTAGTGCTAATTTCCCTGACCAGACGGCCCCTCCCGCCCCGTCGTGGCGCGCCCCCTGGCGGACGCCCCTGGCGGCGCCGAACCTGTCCGCCGCTGCCCGCGCAGCACCCGCCAGACTGGAGCGCTCCTGGCGCCCAGGCGGCTCCTGCTGCCTCGTCCCTCCTACAGGCGGCGGCGGCAGCGACAGGTACTGTGAGCCCAGCCAGTACCTCTGGAGTTAACTCCTCCCCTGCCGGCCCGCAGCAGCCCGGGGACCCAGGACAAAGGAGGCTGGACGGGGCCGGGCAGGGGATAGGCGATGCTGGTGGCAGAGAGAGGGTAGTAGCCTGTGGTGAGGTGCCCCACCTTCCTCACCCGTGTGGCACGGCGTTAGGCATCTGCTGCCCTACCCTCAACCCTAGGAGACCTGGAATTTGGAAAGACCATTTTTTCCAAATCCATTCCAACAACAAAAAACAAAACAACAAAAAAACAAAACAAACAACAACAAAGTCTTCCTTAGTGCAACCTCTCCCCACAGTCGAAAGTCCACTTTCTGTCTGTTACACTTGCTTCCTTGCTGAGGGAAGTTCTTCTGGGTGTCTAGCCTGTACTCCTGTAGTTGTAATGTCAGTTTCTTTCCTCTTCTACCTTACTCAGAGGGGTTGGAATAACTGTTCTCACACCCTAACACACACACACACACGCACACACACACACACACACACTTCAGTGCAATCGCTGTGACAGGACACTTTGGCTAATGCCCTGGGCTGAAAAGGCTACTAGGGGTCAGGCTAGACACCCAGAAGAACTTCCCCAAGAACTTCTGAGGCTTCTGAGAACTTCTTCTGAGGGTTCTGAGAACTTCTGAGGCTGGGGTCAAGGGTTAGGGTTAGTGAAATGGGCAAGGCCTCTGTGGGGGCTGCTCCTCTGGTCCTCATTCTCACTGACCCTGTGACCTGGGCAGTCACTAGGCTGGGACGTGGAGCTCCTATTCCAGTGGGGTCCCTGGTTATCTCTGGTCTCTGCACATTTCCAGAGCAATGAGGAAAACAAGACCCTGATAGGAGATTCTCAAAGGTAAGACCCTCCCCCCACTAATCTTTACATTTCCTTCCAGAAATTTAGAGCCCCTTTTATCCTTAGAAAGAGCAAAGGTCAGGTCCTAGTACCCTTTGAAGGTTGTGAGGGTGAGGAAGTACCCCAGGATCTGGAACGGCCCCAGCCTGAGCTGGGCCCAGTGGGTGGGCATTCTGCTCTGTGGCCCTCAGGTCCCAGCTTGGTCTCTGGCTGCAGCCCTCAGCAGGCACCCAGCCTCCTCCCCCACCATCTGCCAGGCGGGTGCGCTGAGAATGCAGATGAATCTTAATACCAGCCTGGGCCAAGTGCAATGAGGGAGACAGCTTCTGCAGAACCCAGACAGCGTCACAGAGCCCCCTGGGTTCCCAGGCACCCTGGGCGGTACCAGGTGCCCCAGCCCTTCCCTAGTGGTGGTGGTAAGGCCTGTGTGTCTCATCAAAGACCCCAAAGGCCAGGGGAGGAAGGAACAGATAAATCCTTGTCTGGCCTTGGGGCCTCCTGTCCGGGCTGGGAGGAAGGAGCCGGCCACCTGAGCGTGGGCAGCTGGTTCTGGCGCGCAGCTAGGCAGAGGCAAAGCTGGGCCCACTCCTTGTACATCTCCAGAAGGCCCTGTCCCCAGGAGAGCGGTGTGGCCCCGCAGAGTAAGTACAGCTTCGCAAGCCAGACGGCTCTGGATTCCACCCGCTGTGTGACCTTGGGCAGGTTGCTTTGGTTCTCTGGTGCCAGTTTCCTGATCTGTTGCTGCAGGAACAAAGTGAGACAAAATGTACAAACAAAGCGCAGGCACAATGGCTGGTGTGCAGTCGTGGGAGTGCAGCGAAGGGAAGCTCTCGCCTTCCCACTTCCCACACGTTTGCTCTGCCTGCACCTCCTGCCAGGCTCGCCCTCACTGCCCTCTTGGCCATTCCTGGCTCTCACTTCCTTCAAGTTTTCCCTCTGCATTCATCCATCAACCATTAATCAAGCCTGTCCTCAGGGTCAGGCACCAGGCCAGGGGCTGGGATACGGAGATGAATGGGACACCGTCCCTGCCCTCAAGGATCTCACTGGCTAGTGCTGAACCAGGACATGGAAATCAATGATTATAATAACTCAGTGTGGTGAATGGAATAATAGATTCCTGGACCGGGCATTATGGATGCAGCAAGCATGGTGCAGACAGGGGCAGGGCGGGGCAGGGACGGCTTCCCGGAGGAGGTGATGCCGAAGTTACGAGGAGGAATCAGCCAGGCAAGGGCTATGCCTGGCAAGGGGCACTGACTGATCTGAGGCTCGGAGGCTAGAAGCGGAAGCAGTTTGCTGTTACTGGAGCTCAGAGGGGAGAAGAGGAAGCTGGAGCAGAAGGCTGGGACCAGCCGATGAAGGGTTTTATGTGTCAGGTCAAGGGACCAGGGCTTTTGTTTATGAGGATCTATCGCAAGCAGGGTTGTAATAAGGAGGATGGGGATTACAGTCGGATTTGCATTTTAGGAAGCTTTTGGAGAATTCACTGAAAAGAGGAAAAGCCCAGAGGGGGAGAACCAGTTAGGAGGTAAATGCCATGGCCTGAGGTAAGGGAAGGGGGAGGCCGAAATGTCCTTAGGAAGTAAAATAATCAGGGTCTGGTGGTTGCTGAGGCTAGAGGAGGGGAGAAAGGGAGTCCGGTATGAAACTAAAGTTTCTGGCCTGGGTAACAGGTGGGATGCTTGCCGGGAGGGGCGCGGCAGGTGAGGAAAAGGAGATGCATGCTGGGGGGAGGGGGTGGTAGGGTCAGCTTTGGTCAAGTTAAGTCCTGGTGCTTTTGGCCACCCCAGGAGGGAAGAAAGTCTAGCCGTGGGTATTAGGGTGGTTGGTGATGTGGGCTGTGAAAGAATTCACAAAGAGAAGAAAATGCAGAGTAAAGTTTTTATTCACTCTCCAAGAAAGGAGAGGGGCATGGTGTGGAGAGATACAAGGACGTTAAGGGGCGGGGTTTTGAGCTTTTACTGGATGATCATTGGATTAAAAAAGGGTGGGTGGCGCTGCTGTGTGGCCCCTGGGCTGTTGGGACTTTGTAACTGAGGTTGCCATTTGTTCAGATGTTATCTTTCCCCTGTGGCCACAGGGAGGGTTAGTTCTAGTCTTGCTTTCCAGTAATTTCCCAGTCCCCAGGACATAAGCTCCAAAGAGTAAGATGACAGTTGTGTTTAACAAGGTCACAAGCCTGTTCGGCAAATGGTGCCAAGACAGCAAATGACGCTCGCTGACTTGATCTTTCCCCCCGGGTGCTGAGAGTGTGGATATATAAGAGGAGCGAGGGGCTTGGATTGGGGGGAATGGTCCTGGGCACTCTGACATTTTTGGGGTGAGCAGAAGAACAGGCAGCCAGGGGCAAGGAGGGCAGGCAGGCTGATGGGGTTGTCTTACTTCAGTGTACCAGGTAAAGGGGGGGTACTGTACGCAGATTCCAAGGGGTCCCACTCCAGAGAAACTTCATTGGTAGACGGGGGGCCCAGGAGCATGTGTTTTTATAAGCCCCTGCCCTGCCCTCCTGATGCCGGTGGACGTGACCTCTAGACCTCAATCTGACAAACTGGCGTGTGGGGAGCATCGGATAAGGGGGAATGAGAAGCAGCTCAAAAGAGCGGAGTGGCCCTGGAAGGGCTGAGTCTGACTCAGAGGGTTCCTCCACACCTGCACCCAACCTTGGTCCCTCCAGTGGCTCCCAGGGTGGAAAACAGTGCGCAGGTGTGCTGGCCTTGACGTAGGGCATGGGGGCTCGCCTTTCTGGGTCCCGCAACTCCCCTACCTTGCCACACCCTGCTGCTCAGTGAAGAGGGCAGGACTCTACGCAGTAGTCCCACCCCTCAGCCCCTGTTTGCACCCGGGATGCGGGTTAGCTGAGCATTTGCTTAGCACTTCCGATGCCTTCGCTTGCTTCTTCTGTCCCCCCCTCGGAACAGTCCTGTTTCCCACCAGCCTCTTCACTGCTGCAGAAAAGAAAACAACGCAGTAGGAGCCCGATCAGTGTCTATCAAGTGAACAGAAAACGGGGTTCCTCGTGGTCCCGAAGGCAGAGGGTGGGTGCCCCGGAGCCAGCAGCCGCAGAGCAGAACAGGAGGAAGGGTGGGAGATGGTCGGTCGGTCGTTACCCTGAACAATCATTCGTGTTTACCCGGCGATCTGCAATTTTAAAGGGTCACGGTGGAGTGCTATGTAGAAGGGACTCGCAGAGCCCAGAAGGAAACCTAATTCAAGTGAGGAGCCAAAGACAAATACCAGATAAATGATCTCGTGGTATGGGGATCAGCCTGGGAGGAGGGGCAGGAAAGAAACTTCCAGGCAGAGGAAGCAACCCTGCAAAGGCCAGAGATGAAAGCAAGCCTGGGACGGGGCTCTGATGAAGACGAGATGAAAGAAAGAATCATTTGTTCTACAAATAGTTACCCAGTGTCTACTTTCATGTCGGGCTCTGGGCTGGGTGTGGGGGCGCAGCCGTGAACGAGAGGGGGCAGGGCTTACTTGCAGGGAGAATCTGGGCTTTGGGAGAGGCAGACATTAAACGGTTACGCCCGAGAGGACACAAGATCTGAGATGGCAGCAAGTGGTATGAAGAAAGAACAGCCAGTTCTGGGCCAGAGAAATGGAGGATGGACCCCGATTTGCCTGGAAGGAGCCAGGGGCAAGCCTGAGAGCTGCAGCCCCTCAGTGGCGATCTAAAGGATGAGGAGGCCTTGGCCAGCCACAGAGCTGGGGGAGGGGCCTTCCAGGCAGAGGGAACAGGGTGTGCTAAGAAGAATGCGTGCGCAGGAAGACTTGAGTGCTTTGCAGGAGCTGAGGGTACCGACTGTAGTAACGTGTGGTGGTGAGGGTGGGGGCTTGAGCCAGAGAGACCGGTGGAAAATAGATCTAGGGCTTTATGGATCTAGTTAAGGTTTGGGGTTTAATCTGTGATTGGGTGTTTTTCTTCTTTTAATTTCAAGTTTTA